GTTTGGATGTGGCATTCCCTGCCGAATAAGGTGGTGGAGATAGAGTTCATTCTAACCTTCAAGTGAGAAGTAGCCAGGCATATAATAATCATCCTTGTATTTGATATGGCACCTTCTCAGATCGTCGAGACATCTCAAAGTCCATTCCATCTGGCATTGTTTAAGCGCTTTGAGACATCCTCCCAACATGAAAGACACTGTATGAATGTTAATCATATTGTGTTGGCTTCCTGTTTGTCCCAAGTGCCCTGCGTTCCACCATCGGTGGCTGCATTCAGCCACTACGCCCCGAAACTCAGAAACTCTCTCCCTCTTTCCTTGTAACTGTCTGTTTCTGCTGTTCCAACTTTGGCCAATGGGGTGTAACATTGAAATGCCAGTGGTTAGGACACTAAGCTTAATTCAACAAAAAAAACAGCTGATATCATGACAAAGGGTTGCATGCATAGAGTTGAGAGTCATTTTTTTTTTAAATTGAGCCAAGGCACTAACTGATTGCATTGTACAGATTTAGCTATTGATGTTTACCTGAAAGATTGCCTTAGAAACATCGACACTTACAGCACAAAAGAAGGCCATTCAGCCCATCATGTCTGTGCTGGCTCTTTTAAGAACATTTAAGGGTTCTCCCGTAAATTATCATATTTCCACAGGCTCACTTTAAGTATTTGGAGCCTCGCCCATCAGATCTGCAGTACACTTATGACTAAGTCTAAAATATATGGTTAAGAATGTTATTTCAGAACTCTTAGCATCGTGCCATTTGGTAAGCATTTCCAAAGAGCTTCTCCAGGTTACCTTTCAAAAGTACATTTCTCATATATCTCCAGAATTAATGCTGTAGAGAATGCACATCCTTAGACTTCGTCAAAACGAGATGGGAACATAAAATATAGATGGTAGGTTGGAAAAGTGATTTCAGCTCTCTGAGAGGCCAGTTGTTGTTGATACTGATAGTAAAAACGGATAATTTACCAAATGCAAGCATTATTATTATTACAAATATAACAAATACAAATTGTTTTGAACCATTAACACCAAATTGTGAAGTGAGTGGAAATATTATAAAACAGAAACCAAACGCTACTCAAAAACTGACTCAATGTGACATACAAAGTGTGCTACAAACATCTTTCTCCTCCAGAGTATCACCTTATTCCTGTGCACCACTGTTCAATATGCACCCAAAATAAACATAGCTGTTGTTTTTTCTCTATTAATTGTCAATAGAAAAATATTCTGCTGCAAGGACTCACAAACAATCAAACAATATATTTATGAACCTTCATCTTCAGATCATTGCAGACCACTTCAAAAGACTCTGTGTTACTATCAATTTCTCTGAGCCCATACGCACATCAGCTGGAGCAGGAATTCTAACGCTGCATAATGTCATTCTTGATGCCATTATATAACAGATGCTAGTCCTAAAAATCAGCAGGCGAAATTGCCATACTTGCTCAAAACAACAGGAACAATGTAAATTATTTATTTCACAACAACATTCCTTCGATGACTTTCATCAGGAGCTGAAAGTCTAAATCTGTGCGAAGTTCCATTTGCACTTCTGAAAATATTTAAAAATACTGATGCGACCTCCCACTTTCTTATCCCCATCATCTGTAGCAAAAAAAAAGTTGGTTTGAAAATAACACGTGGGCGGAATTGCATCGAGCTTTGAATAAAATTCCCTTGGACGTCTGAATCCATCATTTGGACACGTTTTTGCCATGAAATTTAGAAAATTATGGATGAAGTGCCTCATGAATACTAAAGTTATCACAACTTAAAAGATGCGCTCAATATTCATGTTGTGATTGCAAACGTTATGAAATTCTAACTCCTAGGCCATGGGAGGTTGTTGATGGGGAAGTATCCCATCTGTCAAAGGCGAGTGAAGGCGAACATCTTCTATTGCCCTGAAGCCCTGAAGGCTTATGCCTGCTCACAGAGTATTCTCAATCGCTGCCTTACTCACGTCCCCTTCGATTTTGGAGTAAATAGACATTGAATTGAGGAATCAAACATTTTGTTATATCTCTATTTTGAAGATTAAATGAATCCAGCAACTAAGCAAATCCAGTTTTTTTTATATATATATATATGAAGTGTGGTATTTTGCTCTACAAGTACAACAATAACAAGCATTTATATAACGCCCATCAAGCAGGGCAGCATCTCGTGGGGCGCTTAAGTGCGAAGGCTGGATTACATGCCAAGAGCACAACTTTCTTCTCAATTCCAATTCAATGGATCTGGTGAAGAAAGGAGAAAGAGGAGGCAAGAATAATAATCCTTGCATTTGATATAGCACCCGATCGTGTCTTCAAGACGTCTCAAAGTACTTCACAGAATACACTGTAAAGTGTAGTGACTATGTACTTTGTGGGCGAAACGTGGCAGCCAATTGCGCACAGATGCCTTATTGTGGATTTTATTGTAAACACAGAGCATCTACATTCATATACATATGAATGGAGTCCTGTAGCTCAGTGGTTAAAGCACTCGCATTGCAAGCGGGAGACCTGGATTCGATTCCCGGCAGGGCAAAATGATGGGTAAGTTTCCTTACTCCACACATATCTCTGTTTACCTAGCAGTACGTAGGAACCTGGTTGTCAGTCGATTCGTGGATCACTTTTCGAGGTGTAATAAATCCTTCAAAAAAAATAAGTAAATAATAAATTGGTCACTTCAATCCACAACTGTTTTTGGGAGGCTGCTGTGAGCAATTGGCTGATGCATTTCACCCACAAAATATACAGCCAATTCACTTCACAGTATATTCTGCGAAGTGCTTTGAGATGTCTCAAAGATGTGATAAGGGCCTATATCAAATGCAAGGATTATTATTATTATATATTATATATATTATATGTAAGCACTGTATAGATTCTTCAAAAGTATAAACCAAACTATTGTTGCTTTAAAACACAAACAGAAAAAGGCAGTCACATTAAATAAGATTAGAAGGTACAGCCAGAAAGTAAGAATAAAGGAATATAAACATTAAGGAAAGGATAGATAAGAGTTCTTTACTGAAGTGTTGGAGGAGAGAAGGACCTGCCTCTATTGTACCCATAGAAGTCTTGATATTGTCTTATTTCAACCTGAACGTTTCCATCAGACCACTCGTTGTGTATTTGAGCTACCCTGCTCCTGCTTTCTGTCTGATCTTCTGCCAGCTCACTTTGGCACCATTACTGAATCCCCTTCTGAATGAACTCGAAATTCAGTCTCACTGATGCATTTATCCCTCTCTCTTCCTTCAAGAAAAACAGAGATGTTTTTCCTCCTCTGCATAGCAGAAAAAAANTGCATTTTCCAGCATTTTCAAAATAACCCCATCCCAGACACTACCGTTCATGAAGGTCAATAGATAAATCCTTGATTGATTGATGAACATGAAGATCAGAAAATTAATTACTTATATTAGCCTGGGTCAACATTTTAATCCTTGCACGAGCTGAATCAAGAAAAAACAACAAATTAACATTATATTTTCAATAAACTAAGAATAAAGATTTGTGTTTTACCTCTTAGTGTTTAATGTCAATGCATTTTCATTTACTCCCATAGTAAACACACACTGGTGAAAAAAAGTCACATCAGAGTCCATTTAATAATTCATCCAACTGGCAGGAGTCAGTTTGGGAGCTTATGTAAAGGTTGAGAGAGGGATAGAATTCCTTGTTAACATGGATGAAGATAGTAAACTTCAAATGGGCTCCCAATTTATTTTATCTCTAATAGAATAGAACCATCTATCATTATGCTCATAACCACTTACCCAACAACAACAACTTGGATTTATATAGTGCCCTCCACTCCGGACGGCGTCTCAGAGCGCTTTATAGTAACGGATCCCGGGACCGAGCCAGGGGGAGGGGGAGGAAGGTGACCAAAGGCGCGGTCGAAAAGAAAGGTCTTCAGCAGAGACCTGAAAATGGGAAGGGAGGGAGCGAGACAAAGGGAGTGAGGAAGGCAGTTCCAGCAGTACCCACACAGATGCAGGCAGGTGCTGCTAACCTTACAGGTCCACTTCCTATTTAATTTCCCTTAGTATCACACTGTTTGGGTTTGGTCCGATTCCTTTATTTTCCAATGAATAAAAGGGCAGTGATTCTCGGTAAACATGGTGACCTTGGTTGGTAAATACAATTTGTTCTCCTGCTGGTATGAATATTTCCCGTTAGTCGCAGAATCACTCCCAACAACCTGTCCAAATGGACCACTGGAGAATCATGATATGGCTTCACTCCTTCTGCTGTTGAATGGTCCTCCAGGAGCATCCAAGAGACGTAACAATCTCTTCAGGAGCAATGGGGTGAAGTTTGCAAATTTCATAAAGTGTCATTTTGCCCACAAAATATACAGTCAATTGACTTTGCAGTATATCCTGTGAAGCGCTTTGAGATGTTTCAAAGATGTGATAAGGCGCTACATCAAATGCAAGGATTATTATTATTAGTTTACAGAACGCATTTCTCATGTTATGTCCCAAAATTTAATAAGCGCCCAAGTAAAGGGGAGCTTACTGTAAATGTCGTCTCAATTTTAATCTCAATACTTCACTAAATGCAAGCACATCTGGGCACTTATTTTGAGTGGTACAAAGTATGACCCTAAATTGACATAAAGCCCCTTCAAGGTTAGTGATCTTAAAATATTGGCCTGTATTACCATAAAGTCCATTATCATTTCCATACAAACATTGTCAGCACGAGTTACTGACAGATCTAAACTGAGTATTGCATTACACAAGGGAGCTGGATGAGTTGAATAGTATAATACACAGGAAAGCTCGGTGGACTGAAGATTGCATTTGCTAATTGCATTAGTGAAGATCACTATGAAAATTATAAGGGAACACAATAGAGTGGAACATTTAGCATAAAAATAGGTAGCGTGCCTTTACAAACCTAGTAGCAGCCAAACTGGGACTGAGTTCCTGCCAATGCATAGTAAACATTGAAAAGAATAGAAGCTGTTAAACATACCTCAGCTTTTTGCCTCCCTCAGTTATCTTTGTTTTATTAAGGAATCCACTTTTCTCCAGGGGTTGTAAACACTGAAATAGCAGAACAGGATACAAATGAATAAAAGAAACCAAAGAAACACAGCAATGAACTTTCCATTTAAACACTTAGATCAGGGTGGTCCAACCTTCTGGCTGCCGAGGGCCGGATGATGTATTTGAGAAACATCCCTGGGGCTGCAATAGCAAGATTTTTGTGTTTCCCTTCCAGAAACATAACATAACAATTACGGGTAATGGAGGGAGCGCGTGGGCAAGATAAAATGGGGAATGTGTGCAGGGTCGGGGTGGGGGTTGGGGGGGGGGGGCGGATGAAATTGTCCCGTGGGCCTGATGTGGCCAGTTGGTCCACCCCGACTTAGATTATGTGTTCTCAATAGTCCACAGCTAAAACAGTGGGGAAGATTAGTGAGTAAATCTTGCACGGTTTAACTGTTCGAGACAGAAGCATCACCTGCAGATTCTCCCACCATAGCAACTGGTGTTATTTTCCCACTGTAAACTTCAGCAATAACTGGTGTTATTGCTGAAGTTTGCACCTACAATATTGATGGGTGTTCGATCTTCTCTTGCTCAGCACTACGAGAGTGGGAAAGGGGGTCAATGGTGCCAAGGAAGGATCACAAGACTGGTATCGTGAGACATCAGTGACCCGAGAAGAGTTGTGGCATTCAACATGAGGGTTTCAAATCATAAGCTGCAATCAATGTAAGACAAAGGGTGAGGAAGGACCAAGGTGGGAAAGTATCGGTGTACTGGGAAAGTGTAGCAAAGTAGCCTCATAACGACTGAACAGAAACACTATAAACTTTGTCACAATTTCAAAACAAATCTAGAGAAATCACTTCATAGAGCTGTTCAGTTGTGGAATGCATGGCTCCCAGAAGGCAGTAGAGATGGAATCAAAAGAAAAATGGAAACTCGGGTGCCCAGCCAGGGGTGTAAAGCACCCATACCCCACGATGGTAAAGGTGCTAACAAAATATAAATGCCATTGGAAATTGTATTATGCTTGGGAAATAGGGTATAACGGGGGAATGGAGAAGATAAGGCAGAGCAATAGGGTTAAATAATCTGCCATAATCTAGTAAACCGGCCTGACATGCGCAACACGTGAATGACTTAATTACGTTACTCTTGAGACTGTAAGAAAAAAAGCGCTTTGTTATGAGAAAGAAAATAAACAGAACCAGCAAGGAATGTATTGAACACATGATACTGCTGATGATTGCAGGAATTGGGTTCAGGGTGAGGACTTATATAATGAAGTGGAGTAAGATTTGCAAAGGACCTAATGTGATGCTGTCCTTAGGTAATTTGCCCCATTCGCCTGCTCGAATGAAAGGACGTTTACACATGTGTTTTTCCCCAAAAAAAGACAATACAAAACATTCTACGAAACATGGCTCCATTTCTTAAGGGAACAAAAATCAAAGCCAATTCACTTCACGTCCTATTAAATGTCATCATTGGGAAATACATTTGTATTGAAACTATTTTTACTGAACACTGTTATACCAATGTCATCCTGTGCTACAGCAGCACACATTTTGGAAAGACTTTAAGTAACTTTACTGTTCGTGGTTAGCAAAACTGCTGCAAAATATTTGTAACTGCTTCAGGCAGATTTGGGATGAAACTAGAAATGTCCAGAAATGCATTAGTTTGCTGTATTCTGATAATTCTTGGCATTCCTGATGTTGATCTCTGCTTTTAGGCAGGGGTAGCACAGGCAAGCAAGTAAAAAAAACAACGGACCTAGCAAGGACATATAGAAAGACAGAATACAAGATGTCAGTTCAGGGAACCACAGTCTGGGGTGAGGCATCAGGAAGTCATTAATTGAGAATATGAGGGAAGATACTACCGTCAGCTGGACTAAGGTTAGCTTCTCTATTTTAGTTGATTATATCCATAGACAAAACTTCATGTCATACTGTGTATCCACTCTGGAATCAACATGTCAAAAACAACCCCCTGGAAACATGCCTAAGTGTACCTTTGTCAGGCTATTTCCAATGAAATCTAAGTGACATGGAACCTTGTCACTTGCAATGTGCTGGTGGTACATTGAGGTCAACACGACTCTATGGCTATTATCCAGGTAGCGCAAATTGATGCTGTAACAGTACGGACAGCATGATTAGTGTGTGTTATACTCTACCTACTTCCAGACAAGGCAGTAGCCTGGAAATATATCTCTATCAAGCAAACCGCACTTACACATGCCAACACAGGTTATAGCCTTTCATTTTGTTTTAACAAGTATAAGCCTCTGGTTTAGCCATATGGGATAGGAAACACGCTCAACCAGAAAATGTGTAAAGTAACTCTGCCGGTAGAAGAATACTTACAGACTTGTCTACCATCCCCGTGATCTCAGCCAGGTTGTGTTGAGAGTGGTTTCTTCTGTGACGGGATACCTGCTAAATAAACCAAAAGATAAGTTTAATTCCAAGATTTTCCACTGACTGCTACCTTTTGTACCTAAAATTAATGCACCAAAGACAATTAAGAATTTTCAAGAGGTGGGGGGGGAATCATTTTAGGGCAAACTTTAAGTAATAAATTAATGACTGTCTTGTTAGTGTTATGCCAATTAATGTACATGTCATTATAGGTGTCAGAAATCATCAGCTACTCTGGAAATAAAACTTTTCACATTCTGGATATCCATAGATGTTGATTTTACTGGGGTTGGAGGGACACATTGGTCTAGTCTGATGAGGATGTGCTATTATTTTCTTGTTGTGCGAGACGATTTTATGTGGATGACAGTAATGCAGGTGTAGGGAAAAAAACAAAACAATTTGAGTATTTGACATCGAAAGTGTATTTTACAGGAAACAAACACTTAATTGTGCAATGTGCTTTCCGAGGCTGTGAAGTCTGAGCGTAAACTTTGATTAACTAGACAATGTTTGCCTGAAATTGATTTCTCAGTATTAGACCATTAAATCTCGGCACTGAATTCACGCGCAAATCATTTCGGATTGTGCACTAATTTATGCTTAATAACATAATTATAGCATTCGATTGGGTGTAAATATGATAGCGACTCAAAGTTGAAGTGAACATATAAAACAAATAATGTGTATAATTTTCATCTTTTAACACAGTACTAAACCACCATAAAAATCATGTGTCTATCAACCAGCTGGAATAGCATTTATGCTGTTGTTAATTTTATTTTATTCAGTTTTACAGGAAAGGTATAAATAAACAAATCTCATAACAAAGATTTGTAGACAGTGGAGACTGTCTATCTGTGGCAAAATAATGTGTAATAAAAATAAGTGAAAACAAGCAATAATTTAGATTTTGAAGACAAAATAAGTAATTTTCAATAACTCATTTACTTACAACGGGGTCAATTTTGTGAAATTTCTTAACAGGTTTATTCAATTAAGAAATCTGTAAGCGCCACACTCTGAGTTGAGGGAACACGAGAATCTATTTTCAAACCAGTGTTCCCTTGAGTCACAGTAACGTGTATCACGTATTTTCAGTTACCGAGAGGAGAACCCACTAGAAATTGATTTGTTAATTAAGAAATCCATTTGATAATTAAGAAATCCATTAAGAAATCCCAAATTGGCCCCAATGATATATATTACTATATATTGCAATTGACATCGAAATGTCAAGGGCAATACAAATAAGATGGTTTGGCAGCAAATTAGAAAGTTCTGCAATCTTGGCCATATCGTATTCTGTGCTGGTCAATATATTTACCGCTGATTTGGAGAATCATCCTTCCATAGCATCCTTTCTGCATTCAACCGTGTACTTTTTAGTCCGACAATAATAATAATACTTGCATTTGATTTAGCGCCTTATCACATCACTGAGACATCCCAAATAGTTTCACAGAATACACTGTAAAGTGAATTGACTGTGGATTTTGTGAGTTGAACGTGGCAGCCAATCCGGCACAACAGTTGCGGATTGATTGATCAAATTATTATTTTTTTAAAAGGGATTATTACCCCCGGAAAGCAATTCTGATGCACACAAGTTAAGGTCCGTTAATTTTCCTTGACAATCCAAGTTAAATAAGTTGGCACATTAAAATGAATACATCACATAAACCCGGAGTTCAATGTATTCTTGTAGTAACACAAATGGGTTAAACATTTTTCTCACCCCATCCTTCTCAACACAGTACACACAGTCCGTGCTACCAGTGGACTATCAGACTATATTTTCCCATTTTACTTCCTCTTGTTTAGCGCCTGTACAAGTTACCACTGTAGGTGAAATAGACGTACTCTGACAGTGAATAATTTGAACATTTTAGATACATTCTCTGAGTTTAATGTCAATCCTCAATTAATCTTATTCACAAATTCTAATCGAACCTGTGGTTGAAAGTTAAATTCCTTCTCACTTTCATTAAAAGCCTTTGCTTCACCACCTCATTTATTGTTCTCAGCAAACTGTTGTTAAATTAAAATTGATTGTACTTTTTAATGCTAGATACTGGGTAATCAAATTTTATTTGGTGTATTGCAGTTTTAATTATCATCGAGTGAATAATTATCATGCAAATGAGCAAAAAGTAATGTCACATCTTAATAATTAAGTGAATGGCACTTCTTAAAAGAACTATTTTCACTGTGCACAAAATATTCCTTTCCTTGACAGCTATTTTGCTGAATATTATTCAACTATAACATTTCAGCTATATTTTAGTTTGTGTCATAGCTTTGTCCCCCAAGTGTTTTCTTCTTCCCATTATTCTTCCATATCTTCAGCAAGACAGCTTCCAAAAGAAATAGTGTATTTTCTGGCAGCATCTCCTTCAGGGAATTGCAAATCTGTCAGTTTAAATTTTATACACACTAAACCTTTTTACTGAAGTGTCACTTCACTGTCTTAATACCATATTCACTACATAATTTACACAGATAAATATGAAATATGTTATCTACTCTCTTTGATGTATGTTACCATGTCCCATATACTTGTTATTTTTATTAACTCCTACCCTGCTCGCATATTGTATATTATCCTCGATTACCATCATGTTCTCTTTTCCTATCTCTTTAATTTATCATTTTAAGATTCTCTCCCCCACCCTCCCCCTCTCCCTCCACTCTACCTCTCCCTCCCTCCCCTAGGCTTCATTCCATTGCCACACTTCCTCAATCGAAAAAGTAGGACAGTTGTGGGATGCATTCTTTACGGTCAGCTAACTCAGTTGCCTCGGTTCAGTTCAGTTCCTGAGAATATATCCTTCCCCACCCCTTCCAACGCACACACATTACCCACTCATTATCAGCATTAAGCACTTTCAGGTCAAGGATTGTCAGCCCCACTGCTGTCAATCTTAAGATTTCTTTAATATAAAAACCATTAGATTGGTTATAAAACTGTCCAGTCAGCCTGGGGTTTAAACCAATAATAATGCCTTCAATACATAAACATTGTTCCCGCCTTCCAAAGTGGACAGGAGTTGAATGAAAGATGAAGCTTAAAGATAATAGTAGTCTGTAAAAAAAAGTGAGACTAGGTAGAAAATAATAACTATGTTAAGGTAGAATAAATAAAGGGACACTGGAATAAATACAGGCATTTTAAAGGATTTAAAATGTATAACTTGTTAGCACTTCTTGATGCTATCCTGTGTGAAGGGTGCTGTATATATGCAAGTGGTTGCTGTTTATTTTGCGTTAATATTACATTAATAAAGCTCTTCCAGATTGTTCAGTAATTATATTACTCTAATATTAGTAAATTTCAGTATTGCACTGTGAGAGCAGACAGGGAGACACCAGAGACTAAAGTTTTTGATGGTAGACTGGTACTCAGAAGCCAGGTTTATACTTCTCATTCCTAACAGTGCTTTGTATTGGGCTCGGGGAAAAGATAAAACACACCCCATTTTGGCTTCCTGTCCTTAGTGAGTGTAGTGAATCGCTTTCACAATTGTGATCATTCACTGACAAACTTAAGATTAAAGATAATAATAATCATAATAATCCTTGCACTTGATATAGCGCCTTGAATTGACTGCATATTTTGTGCGTGAAAAATGCAGTATAAGAGTTAATAAAGGAAGTAATCACATAACATTAATTACCATTCAACGCACTTAGCTCTCCGTGTGAAAGAAAACGCTTGGGCAGTGAACAGCTCCCTCAATTCAGCTCCAACAATGTGCCCTGAAGCCTCTGAGAAGCACCCACCCCTCCTATACCAAAGCGCTGTTTCCACTCCCCACATGGGACGTTTTTGTGTTTCTACGAGTGAGATGAACAATTCAGTGCCATTTTTTTTCTGCCTTCCGGCAGTTCAGTGCCATGGAGTTGTGCCCATTGTGGAACAGATTGAGACTGTCCTTTCATTTTGACACAGCCCCTTACAACAAGCAAACACAGACAATTTGCGTGCTACCAATACAATACAATCTTCAAATTTTATATAGTGTCTTTCACATCGGGAGGGTGTCTCAAAGAGTTTAAACCAGCATGGGCTGGATTCAACCAGACGCCTTAGAGGACACCATTTGAGATCACCTCTCCTCCCAGGCTGGAAAATATATAGCCAGTGTATGTATTTACGATTTTAATTTCATAAGAAAAATATCATTAATAGTTGGAGATGCAGGGTAGCTTTCATGCAACATTTCAAAAAGATAACAAAGGAAGGGTAAAATCCCTTTGCTAGTTGTAAGATCTCCATCTTAGGCATTCACATTCAAAATTCTTAAGGCCAAAATTCAACCTGGTCTTGGCCTATAAGACAATTTTGCCTTGAAATTTACGATTGTGCAGAATTGTGGATGGGTCTTAATTTGCAAACTGGATTTCCACAGTTCTTAAAAGGGGAACTTCCTCCGAGTCAGTTCAAGTCCAGAAGGATTGGAAGGATTTTTCTTTTTTTTAAAGTATGGTATCCATTTCATCCTCCTCAAAAAGATGACATTTTCAATTGGACCCACTAGGATTTGAACCCAGAATCTACTAGTTCCGAGTCCCAATCATATGAGCTGCCAGTGTGGCAAGGTGGCTGCACATCTATGGTAATATTTTTCTGTTGCTGGCCAAAATCCAAACAGTAAATTTTTGTCTGAGGTTTTCTGTGCCATCTGCAGTTACATACACTATTCTGGAGTCCTGTAGCTCAGTGGTTAGAGCACTCGCTTTGCAAGCGAGAGACCTGAGTTCAATTCCAGGCAGGGCGAAACTTTGGGCAAGTTTCCTTACTCCACACAGAGCCTAATAATAATCCCTCCAAAACAAAAAACAATAATAAATTGGTCATTTTCAATCTACGACTGTTTGTGGGACATTGCTGTGCGCAATTGGCTGCCGCGTTCGCCCACAAATATACAGTCAATTCACTTTACAGTGTGTTCTGTGAAGCACTTTGGGACGTCCTCCCGACGTGACAAGCGCTATATCAAATGCAAGGATTATTA